GGGACACTAGTGATATGGCTTCCCTGTTTTTCTACAAAAATATTTTCATACTAACTGCTCTGATGAGCTTTTTTCCCCCCCTGGTGCTCAGACTACATGAATTTAAGCATGCTACTAGATTGGCATCTAGGTCCCACCCATTTACTGTTAAAATAGCTAAATGCAACCACTTCTACTCCAACAGTTTCTTTTCTTACACTTCCTACCTGTGGAACTCCCTTTTGTTTACTTGCTTCCCTGATAACTACAATCTTTGAAAATTTAAATGCAATGTCAATCGCCATCTTCTACCTTCTTGAATCCCATTCATCTTATCCTTTCCACAATCCTCCCTATACCCAGTCTCTTCTCTCACTTTCACTCCCTGTAAACCCTTGCATATGAGTAGCATTCCCACTTTGCATGAGGTGAAATGATTAAAAAAAAAAAAAAAAAAAAAAGTCAAGATATCTTGTCATATCTCTTCAGGTGGTAGATGATCATGGCTCTCGACAACTTCCTATATTTTGTGGTTTTAAGCAATGTTTATCTCTGTACTATCTTATTACTCATTCTGCCATACATCTACACAAGCTCTGCCTGTCTTGCTTTCAATATATCATGTGAGTGTAAAATTCTCACAACCCTCTTTTCTCATATGTTCCCAACAATCTCTTTCTGATGCTAAATGCCCATTTTGTTCCCATGTTAATTAAAACTTCCTTTTTTAGTCTAATGTTCTATCAGGTCATCCCATAAGTTCTATCCAATTTTAACTTTTATTAAAATGAACGAAATTTAAAGACTATTTTTAATGTCTAATAGAGCCGAACATTATTTTTATGTTTAGATGCATTTAAACTGATCAAATTTTATTTCAAAGAACAATAAAATTAAATTTTGTTTAATTAAAACTTGCTAACATGGAAGTACCCAAGAATCATTTGAGGCACATAATGCTTTATGAGTTCAAGAAAGGAAACTCAGCAGCCGAAGCCGCTAGAAACATTCACTCAGTTTATGGAGAGGAATGTGTGAATGAAAGAACTTGCAGAAGATGGTTTGTAAAATTCGGAGGTGGAGATTTCACCCTTGAAGATGAAGATCGAACCGGACATCCAGTTGAGTTTGATGAAAAGCTTCTTGAAGCAGACCTTGAATCCTGCTTTATCAGTTGAGGAATTGGCAGTGGTTCTCAGTTCAAACCATACAACTGTTCATCGTCATCTTCAACAACTTGGAAAAGTTCCTAAACTTGGAAAATGGATGCTTCATGAATTGTCTGAAAACAATCTCAAATCCTGAGTTGACATCTGCTCTTCTCTCCATTCTCACCAACTTGTTTCACCTTTTTTGGATTGACTTGTGACGAAAAATGGATCTTTTATTGAAATGTTAAACGTCATAGACAGTGGCTTGGTAAAGGGGAAGGACCCCAGCCACAGCCAAGAAGGGAACTTCATGGGCAAAAGGTTCTTCTTTCAATCTGGTGGGATCGCCAAGGAATAATCCACTTTGAATTCTTACCAACTAATGCAACAATTAATGCTCAAATATACTGTCAGCAATTAGAGCATTTGAACCAAGCTTTGAGGAAACAAAGACCTGCTCTAGTGAATCGAAAAGGGGTGATGTTTCATCAGGACAATGCGCAACCCCACACGGCAAGAAAATTTCTCATCCACCTTATTCTCCCAATCTTGCTCCTTCAGATTACCATTTGTTTCTTGCTTACAGAATCATTTGGAAGAAACAGCTTTTGTAACACAGGAAGAGGTTAAAACTGACATTTGTGAGTTCTTCGAATCAAAGCCAAAAGAATTTTACAGTAATGGAATTAGTAAGCTTGTTAATAGATGGAAGGAAGTCATAGATAATCAGGGAAAATACATTGTTGATTGAATCTGTAATTAAATGTAACATTTGGTCACTTGTTTTCTTTATTCAAAATTAGGACAGAACTTATGGGATGACCTGATATAAAAGCATCATAATAATTACCCTTCTCAAAACTTCTGACAATTTATCAACTACATTGCATTAAAAAAAAAAAAAAAAAAAAAATTTAGTAACATAAGATTTGTTCAGAAATGTTGCAGACTAAACGATATTAATAAAAAAGTAACCGAGCCCAACAATGCCTTAGTCCCCTTCAAAGTATTCCTCTTAAGACTCCTCAGATTTATCCCTTCCACTTTTCAAAGTTCTTTTTCACAATCACCCTTAGCTACCTTAATCTTGCAATTTTTGTAATGCATTTTCATAGCAAAAATCATTCACAATGTATTTTCGTTTTAGAACAATGGCACTTTAGAGCCTTCAAAATACTTAGTTTGGAAAGTCACACACTTATCCCATTATCCTTTCAACTTTAGGGGGAAAAAAAAAAAAAATCCTCTTTAAAGATCACAAAATCCTCTTTAAAAGACCACCACTAGCTACCTTGGTACATTCATAATCTTGTCCATGGTTTGAAATTTCCCTTTCAAAGAAATTTTAATTTTAAGAAAAAAAAAATAAATGAATAAATAAAAGTTGCAAGAAGTAAAATCTAGACAAGAATTGGGGACAGGCGGTATGTCAATATTTTGCCAAAAACCTTTTACAAATGAGCAAGTGCAGCTAGTCAAAAATGGTTGGATACTTTCTAAACAAATTCCCAAATCTATTTCTTGCACAGATTTCTGTTAATTGTTAAGCCTGCTGCTAGAAAAATTAGTTCGGTGTGCCATGCTAGACAATTTTTCTCATTAGGATCTATCTTGGACATAAATTTACCATTGAATACTGCTGCCACATCTGGTCTGCTGATTCTGCTATATATTTAGAGCTTCTTGATAAAATACGAAAAAGAATCTGCAATGCTATTGGTCCTGACATCTCAGCTTCAGTCTCTTTCCTATCAATGTAACAGCTTCCCTGAGCCTTTTCTATAAATATTTTCATGGTAATTGTTCTGATAAGCTTTTCTCTTTGGTACCTTGAATTTACAAGTTTAAGCACAGTACTAAATTGGCAGCTAGATTTCATCATTTTACAGTTGGAATTGCTAAATGTAACTTACTTCTATACTAACAAAGTTACTTCTCTTGCATTTCTTGTTTATGGAAATCTCTTGCTTTTCATTTAACTTCGATCTTCAAAAATTTATTTCTTGCACTGTCAATCTCCAATCTGCTCTGATTGCAGCCCATGCAAATATTCAACATTTTCAGGTTATTTTGCTTGTTCGAGGCTTTCTAGAACAGATCACTTTCAACAGCTTTCTGGCCAAATTTGAAATTTTATCTGGGCTTCACTCATTCACACATTAAACAAACTCACTCAATAGTATCTTACTGCCAGCTGAGAAATTCCACATGAATTGTTCACACACGTGCTGTAAGATCCCTTCTGATCAGTTACCAGATTACATCACTGCTGCACAACTAGTTCTTGAGAATCAAAATAGCAGGATATTTTCCAAACAGGACTCATATATATATATATATATATAACAACTGCAAATATTTCTAAAAAGTCACAAGCATATCTTTTGATTTTGTACTCTTGTTTATTACATATTCCTTCAAAAATTTAACAAGATGAAAGTTTTTTTTTCTTCTTTTTTCAGGATATCCAATGACCTATTTTTAAGTATAAGAAGAAGGCATACAAGTAGTAGAAACAAGAGAGGCTGACTTCAAAATAGAAGCTTCTTCATTGACACAATCAAAAGAGTTTGGAATTATATGCACTGGTTATCTAAGGCATGACAAACCAGTAAGCATACACCAGTTGATACTATTTCACAGGGATAAGGAGTGCTTTGCATTCTATTATATAAAATATTTCAATGTCGCTTTCTACCACATTCATCTATTTTACACTCTGTAGGACACACAGTCTGCACAATCTTATACAACCTCTCTCCAAACATTTCTTTTCCTTTCAAAAATTCTTAATATCATTTGCTCAATTATGTTAAAAATCCTGGCTCTAAATAATAGATGATTTTTTTTTTTTAATTAAAATAAATGTTTGATATATCTTCCTTGTACTAGTTACATAATTACTCATATAAAGTAGCACTGTTTTTGTAAGTTCAAACATAGCTAACTTAGTTACTGCAATTCATTGTTATTCAAGTAGTACGACCACAAAGAGATTGCAAATATGGATTCAATCGCCGAAATTTCCAGACAACATTATATTCCGAAACCAGATGTATTAGTAAATTAATAATAATGTGTATAAATTATTCTTTTATCCTGTTTCAAAATGGACAAGCACTAAATAGCAAAACTTCAATGAGAAATTGAAGAGTAAAATTACCAGCAAAATAATACCAAAGAAGTAATACAGAGAAAGTCACCATGTCTTTATTTCACTCTGGCTTAATTTAGTGACAATTAGGAAATTGTCTGATTCCCTAAATATTCTTACAAATTCCCTGAATAATAAAAAAAAAAAAAACTGAAAAATCAAATTGACCATTTAGTCATATACCATAACTACATCAAGATAGGCATATAAAATAATACAATAGAAATATGGACTTATTATCCATTGCATAATGTTTCAGTAATATCCATTTCAATGTAAAATTAAAAGAAAGTTTTGTATTTTGTAATTAGTCTACAATGTGCATTTGTATCTGACTTGTTCAAGATAAGCTGCATTTTTAGAAAACACTTCTTGGCATACTGCACCTGTGCTTATTGCCAAAGTTTCACAATTCTGTTTTTCTCTCAACAAAGGAGGAAATTGTTAACTACCAATTGAGTGATTGATCAATTGATTCATTTTCTATGGCTTATCAACCTTTTGCAGGTTATTTTAAGCCAGAAAATATTTTTAGATTGTAAGATTTTTTTTTATAATGGTTTAAACAAATCTTACTAATTAACCCATAACTGGAAAGAAAAGAGGTGGATTCCTACGTTTCCCAAGGTATTTTCATATAAGTGAATATAATGAACCCCATTAGAATTGAAACACTGCTCTTCAATTAATAATTCCAAGTCAATCACACATCCAAGCTTACAGCACCTAGTATTCCCAAACAGTCAACCATCTAAATACTAATGAGGCTTGACATTGCTTAGCTTCAATGATTGTATGGGAACTGGTGTTACAATGTGATGTAGGCATAAGCCCTGTTAATTATGAAAATATCACTGGTGCAATATGGCAACCTCCAAGTGAAATTCTGAACAAGAATATTTTGAACATTCTGATCAAACTGAATAAAAATGGCTTTTTAATTAGAATGCCTCCAAAACAAAACTGCTCTCTTTTAATCATCTAAGAGAAACCCTTTTTTCTATCAACATGGCTGGTGCTAATATACAAGAGAGAGACTCATTGCACCTTCTGGCACTAACATTTTATGCTGACATGAAGTGGAAAGATTATATTGAATCAAATGCTAAGTCTGCTTCTAGGAAAGTTGGTTCACTATCGTGCTAGACAATTTTTCTCATTAGAATCTGACATGCATTGAATACTGCTGCCACATCTAGTCTGGTGCTTCAAGATATTTCAACAAATATTTCAAAAGTTGATATTTATGAAATTTTTGTTAAATATATTCAGTAGTAAACCAGTTCAAATGTTGCTTTCAAAGACCAAATAAGCAAAGTGGATAGAGAAAAGAGATGTTTCTTCAAACAGCTGCTTTGTGGAACTAATAACTTGTAAGTATCACAAGAAATTTTATCTGTTGAGTGCAGCAAACTAGCCATTTTTCTTTGAAGTCTTTGTCGGCAACAACAATAAACACCAAATGGATCAACTTTTTATTGTTGATATAAATGTTCAAATGAACTAAATAGTCTTAATATTTTTTTTTAAGTTTCTACAAACTAAGGATAAAAAAATCAAACAGAAAAACATAATTTTTACATTTTTTAACTGTCCTCTTTAAAATGATAAAAGAAATGTTCAATGAGACCAGAACTGGACTCCTTTTTCCTTCATTTTCCTGTGTTATTAACAACTATTAAATGACAGTTTGAGAGTTGCAATAAAAAGCAACTGAAATTAAGATGAAAGAAAAAATATACTAACCATAAAAATAATACAACTAAAAATAATTCATTAAAAAAAAATTTCACACTGAAAAGAATCGAAATATCATATAGTAAATATTCTGGCTTTGCAATTCAATTTTGAACATGTTCAGGAATTTAATTTTAACTTTACCCTGAATAAAATCAACAAGTTTAATTTATTAAGAAAACATTCCTTATCAGTAAAAAGGAATAGGCCACACAACTGGTGCATTAGTTTCAGTTCATAAACAGTGCATTGCATGTTGGACTCCAGATTATAAAGATGCAAAAAATAAAAATAAATAAATGTACTAATATCCTTTCCAAATATTAGTGAAGTTATATTTAATTCATTTGAATGATATCACTATTTCTTAAACTTGGAAAATTGCCATCAGAAAAAGTTGCAAGAATACAAATTTTAAACAAGTCATCACCAAAACCTGTTCATGCTAGAGTTTAAATTAAATTTAGAATCCATTGTTTTTCAAATATTTCCCTTTGCAATTTATCTAAAACTTTTATACAAACATATAACACACACAATTTATAGATTTGTTATTTCACCAACTTATCAGGTGAAATGTTTAAATAACCTACAAATCCTATACCAAATACAAACAAACAAATATTTATGAAATAGGTTGTACACACTTTCCCTATTTGGCTCCTTGGTGGACATACACGTAATTTTGTCAATCCTCCCCCAATCTCTTACACCTACTTATTAATCAAACAATAGAAGATAACAATTATTTGATCAGATATGCAAAGAATTCCAAGAATCCAGAATATACATCTAAATTGTCACAAATTAATTCAGAAGAGAATGGATTTATTTTTATAAAGCTAAATGCTTTTAAATGTTTTCCTTAATTTGTCTTCACAAGAAACCTGACCATTTGGAAAACAAAACTCAGAGTCAAGAATTGGGAAAGTGTTTTATTCATTTTGTTATTCAAAAAGAATACAATTTGACATGTAAACACCAGTACAGAGGGGAGATACTGAAGAATTCAAGAAGGGATTCCACAAAAATATATTTAGTCAGGTCAGAGTTTGCAAAGTGGATTGGGTCAAGAATTTATCAGCACACTCTGTAACGTTGTAACAAGTGTCATTTCCTTTCATTACTTACAAAGTTACATTTGACACATGGAATGTAATTTATATCAACATTAATCACAAAGGTGTCAAAATACTTTAAAATATTAACTATTTTTAATCTCTTGATTGTCTCTTTCATTTGAAGAACTTGAACAATGTTTAATAATATGTCTTCACCTATAACAAAACAAGAATGCATTGTTACTCCTAACAGGCATTTTAAATTAATTTATATATTTTACATATGAAATGCTTTCTCTGAGCTTTTATTAAATTTGACAGTATTGAAGTGCCAGATAATTGCTTGACTGGTTTAAAAAAAAAAAAAAAAAAAAAAAAAAAAAAGGTTTTCATTGGATAATTGAAACCACAGTGAAAATGGTGCCATTCTCAACATGTCAACCAGTTTGTAATAGAGCTTTCCTTGCATTCTTTAAGACATCCCAATAATTGCTGACCAATCTCAATTTTTATTTGGTTGAAAATGACTCATAGAAACGAAGCTTAATTTTAACATTTGGGAGTGATTAAAAGTGTATAAACTATTAAAATATCCTTTTCATTAACCAAGTGAATAATTATAATGTAATGGAACATTTATCAAATTCTCTAAATATACAAAAAAGAACCTTCCTAATTTAGTGAGTCAATCAGCTTGCTTATTAGTGAATGCTACATAATCAAATTTAGATGCTGGCACATAATTTACACAAACTTTCTCTAGCTGGAAGCAAAATATTCATATCACACACACAATTTATCTCCCTTTTTGCGATTGAATGACAGCCTGTTTTAGCAAGAATGCAACACAAAAAGATTGTTATGCAATTATCACATTATCCAAACATTTTAACAACCATCAAGAAAATTAATTTTGTTAGATTTATCTTAAGCTGATTTTCACCCTTTCTCTAAGTTTTAATATCAAATTAAGAAAAATTCAAAAGCTAACAAGAACTGTGACAACTATAGGCTAAACCAGGGGTTTCCCAACCATTTTGCATCATTGTTCACTTTCACATAGAAAAATTTTCTACCACCTGCATAGTAATGATGGTAAATTATGTTTTTACAGGCATTTTTCCAACCTTGATAAATTTGTGATGGCCAATGTGATAAAAAGAAGTAAAAACAATTTTATATTAAATAAAAATTATTCTTAGGTCACTTCTTAATTTTACTGGCAAAGTTGTTCTTGGTCTTCCCTTATCTGATTTATAACCCCCACCCCCCCAATGTTCTTTTATCAGAAAAACTATTTGAATGTTAATGTACCTTCTCAAAACTATAGAAAATATCAAAATATTCTTTGTTTGCGGGGATATTTATATCTTATCAAGGAATGTGACCCAGTTATTCCTATTTATTTTTTTTTTAATACAGGTTCTTTGTATATCTCCTTTGAATATTTTTTTCAGGTAGCATATGTTGAAATACCTTTTTAATACTCAAAGTACTGTATCACCCACCAAAATTTCTAATAACCTATTTTCTGTTCACCCACTCAATAGTTGCAATCATTCATTGGTGGGTGGTATTGGGAAACCCTGGTTTAAACCAACTAAATTATCAAGTCCTAATTATCAATTAAAATAGATATAAAATTTAACAGCAATTAAAATCTTAACAACAAGATTACTTCAGGTATCTGTAAAAATATAGTAAAGATATAGGATTCAGTAATCATTAACAAACTAGTTGAATTCCATTTGACTTAATGAATGGGCCATAACATTATGGTCACATCAGGTTGAAACAGCAATTCTTGTACAACCACCAAAGTTAAGCAACATCAAGCCCAGTCAGTACCTAGATGATTGAATGTTTGGGAATACCAGGTGCTGTAAGCTCGGATGCATGAGTGATGTAATGGATAATGGCTCAGAATTGTTAATCAGAGAGCCGAGTTGCAATTCTCATTGGGTTCGTTATATTCACTTACAGGTATATATCCCCCCTGCCCCCCCACTTCATTTAAGGGTTAATTTTAGTAAGACTTGTATCACTAAGCCATTATCTATAAGAAAAAAATTCTAACGATTTAAAAATATTTTCTGGCTTTAAATAACCTGCAAAAGTATTGATAAGCTATAGAAAACAAAGAAAACAAATCAATCAAAATCATTAAAAAAGAAAAATAATCTACTTCATGGCTGAGATAGTTATGTGCATTTTTCACAAGTGGCAGATGAGATAAAAATGAAAAATGTTATTAACTGATTTTCTAGTCAAGCAAGCAGATTTTTATTTTTTGTTTTTGGTCTATCCATTTGGCTTTTGCCCAATACAAAGATTAGTAAATATCAATAACCTGCATTGATTATTTACCCCAAATGAAATTAGTTAGTGAATCTAAGTATTGACTTTATAAAACTATTATATTTTGATCAGAAAAAATAAACAGCTGAATTAAAAAAAAACAAAAGGCTAGAGTTATATTTTAACAAAGCTATTTTAAATCTTCCCTTTATTAAAAATAAAGGATATATGTTATTGAAGACAAATTTTGCAATCATTCAAAGCACCTTCCAAATGTTTCTGTAATATATCAAATTCAATTTTGATAAGTGAAATAATATCCAGAGTAAGTAAATTAGGTCTGTCCAAATAGTAAATCAATCAAGATTTAATATTCTTAATTTTTCTTTGGAGAGTATGTAAGTGTTTTAAAAAAAATAAAAAAAAAAAAAAAAAAAAAAAAAAAGTTTATGGATCCCTTCCACCTTAACCACTATGAATGTAAAAACACAGTTTATCAAATAAAAGTTAAAAGCAAATTATCATCAACACTCAAAATATAAAGACTTTTAGATGAGAAAGTATTTCTCAAAACTACATTTTAATGTCAACCGACCATTAACTGTATCAAATAAGAACTTTATATGCATTTAGCAATTTGAATTTTAGTACAAGTCATAAAATCACTATAAACAGCCATTCAGTTAGAATCACAGAGGTGAGATGAAAAGCACAGACTG